CACACACACACACACACACACACGGAGCCATCGAGGGGATATGCTTGTGCTTCTCAAATGACAAGTCTGTCTCTGTTCAGGCACAGTCTCCTCTTAGGCTTGCCTGTGTCCTTGCTTAAAGGTGACCCTTCCTCCTCCCCCTAGAACCCTGTGCACTGGCTTCCACAGCCCTGTCCCAGCAGCCTCTCCTTGGTGGATTCTTTTTTCAGTTTATGAGCAGAGCCCAGTCTCTCTCATCTGAGAACATGGGCTGCACTCTTCTGATTTGATCTCATCACCAGATCCTAGCTTAGAGAAGCCCAGGAATCACAATGTGAGGGACCGAGACCTATAAGCTCACTAGCACACTGAGGCTTGATCCCCATTGTTCGCTCTCACTTCTTCAGCCACCTTCTGGGAACCGCGGCTTGGGAGAGTACACTCTGTCACCCTCAGTGCAGTCTAAGTGTCCAGCCAGATTTCCCTGCTGGTGACCACATACAGCAGCCTTACCACAGCCACCAGTGGCTCCTCTTCTGTGAAATGCAATGATCATTTTTCAACTTTGGTCTCGGTTGTAGTGTCAACAGCCCAGACCCTTTGGAAACTTTTTTTTTTTTTTTTTTTGAGACAGAGTCAGGCTTTGTAGTCCAAGCTGGCCTTGAGCTTGCAGTGACCCTCGTCCCTCAGCTTCCCAGGTATAGGATTATAGGTGTGCATCCCCCACTGGAAATACTTTTAATCTTCCCAGCTTTCCCTAGTCCTTCAAACTTTCTCCTTTGTAGCTTATTTTTCCACTAACTCCTTAATAGTTGGCCAATTTATTAGCTCTAGACTCACATACACAATGCTTGCAAATACCCCGTAGACTCTTCCCAAAGAATATGCAATGAAAAATGGATTTGGAAGAAACAAGAAGTCTTTTCCATTTCTTAATAAGTAGAACTTTACTCACCTAAGCTTTAAGTTCAGAGTCTTTTCTGGATTTCTGTTCATGCTCACCCCCAGCTTTATGAGAGGATGCAGTTCTCCTGACACACACCCTTCCTGTCACCTGGCCTGAAGCTCTCCCCACAGCGACAACTTCCTAACTCAGAGGCAGCAAGCTGGCAGCCTGCCTGTAGCCTGCATGCATTTGGGTTGGCCTATACACTGCTTTAAGATTTTATCTGAAGACAGAGAAGTTTCATTGAAATCCAGACTCATGGCTTCTTTTGAAAACCAGGTGTAGGGTCATGAGCCCTGTGTCTCTATGGAAACTTATTATTATTACTGAACGATTTCATTGCTATTGTTATTAATCTCTTACTGTGCTTAATTTATAAAATAACTTCATCATGCATAGGTATATATGGACAAAAACTTAGTGCATATTGTGTCTCGTATAATCTGTGGTTCAACATAGTCCCTGGGGGTCTTGAAATTATAATCTGTAGACATGAACACAGGTAAGCTATACTACTTCTGTCCGTGAAGATGAGGAAACAGTGGCTTTCCATGTGATAAAGACTTAAGGTTATACACTTTGCTAAAAATAAAGAAAGTTCCAAAAAAATCTAGACTATAATAAATTTGCTACAAAAAAATCATTTTTTTCTGTTTCTGTGTACATGGTTTATGCCAGGACTGACAAAGAGTTCCTTAAAATAATTTGAAAATATATCACCTTTTGCAGTTGAATACCTTGACTCTATTTGGGGACTGACTGCCTAAATTCAATAAAATAAATCAATGTGTACTATAAATAACTACTAAAGTCAATATTGGTGTAGCAAAGAATCACCCTTAAACATCTTCCACCGCTTGTGTACCCAGCTCCAGGGAGGTCCTGCCCAGCAGCTTTCTAAGGAACGGAATCTGGGCCATTGTAACTACGGACCTGCATGTTCCAGTTTATAAAGTGCTTTCAGGGTTAACTTCACATTTCGTTTCCCATCTTGTGAGTTTAGTAGTATTGCTTCCTACTCGACCTGAAAAGGCTGAGGGACCTAGGGGAAGAAGGGCTGGGGCCCAGGGGAGCTTCTGACCCGAAGAGCAGCCATCACCCTCTGGCCACTGCTTTTTGAGTTATTATTTTTTTTTATTTTGCGGTACTGGGGATTGAACTCAGGACCCTGCACTTGCCAGGCAAGCGCTTATTCTTCTGAGCTATCGCCCTGGCCCCAAAATTTGTAGGGTTTGTTTTTAGTGGTACCAGGGATTGAACTCAGGACCTGCTGCTTGCCACGCAAGCACTTATTCTACTGAGCTATCTCCCTGGCCTGGCCACTGCTTTTTAAGCGGTATTTCCCTCAATTCTTCCGTGCAGCCTGAGTCTTGGCTCGAGTCCTGGGGATCAGGAAGCCCGCAGCACATCCAAGGGATGCCTCACTGCTTCCCGCCTCCCATGAGCTAGGTTGTTATTACTTTTAACGAGTAGCTACTGTCAGAGAGTAAACACCCAGGCTGGGAGCCGGATCAAGCCCTTATGTAATGAGAGCTACTTAGGGAGGCAGCAAGCACAAAACCCCTTTCAACAGCTGCGATGTTATACAGCGTTATATTTGGCTGTTCCTAGACACTGCTGTGCACATTCTGTACAGGGCTTGGAATGTGAAAACTGGAACTTAAGAGGTTTATGCATGCTCTCATTTTCAAGAGATGATTCTGTAATCCAATATATCAATGGCTACATTGTCATAGCTTTTTTCATTGTCCTCTGACTTACGGTACTATACAAAAAAACCTGTGTCTGTAATAACGATACATATTTGTTTGGGCAATGGTGAATAGAATGCATTGGCCTTTAACAGCTTCCTCTACGCAGAGCTGTCTCTCTGAGCCTCAGTCTCCCACACCCTGCAGCATCTCAGTTACACTAATGATGTGATTTAATTGATGTTTTCCTGTCACTAGTGAAGAAGTGTCACCACCGGAAAAGCAAAAGCCTAACAGCTCTTGGCTTTAGCGTATAATTAGCTTTTTGATTAGTATTAAATAATCATAATAAAAATATTTGCATATTTTTCACTTACTGGACACCTTCACATATATACCCTGAAGATCACTTCATAGGAAGGGAATCACAGTCTTAAAAAATGGTATATTTTGTCTAATGTTGGTCTCAAGATCAGTTTTTCATTCAGGTAGAAAAATCTTAAAATCATCAACCATCTGAAGTAGGACAGCTACTTTTTCAATATAGTAATCAGTGGATGATGGCCTGATTTCTCTGATTTTAAGAATATCTGTGACTACGGAGAAAAGCATCTTGACAAAGAATGAGTAATATATATTTTTAAGTTGGCAATTGGAGAACAGTGACCTAAACTCACCAGGGCTCTGAACTTCTCATTTTTATGTTGTTCATTTTAATTTCCTCTTATCACTTTCGCTACTGGCTACTCCACGTTAACCTTTCTCTCCGGACAGTGAGGACCCTGTGGTGAAGCCTCTGCCCAGTGGGCTCCGTTCCTCCCCTGGATCCAGTGCGAGGTTTTATGCCATGCAGATGCTCAAAATACAGCTGGCAAATAGACGAGCTGAAAACTTCCTAAGAGCTATACTGACTTTTACCAAGAGAACTGGACGACCTAAAGGTTTCATCAACTTTATATTCACTTTTAACTGGGATAAGGCCTCTATCACAGAAGTCTTTTTTTTTTTTTTTTTTTTTTCAGAGCCGGCGATTGAACTCAGGCCCTTGCGTTTGCCATGCAAGCACTTATTCAAGTGAGCTATCTCCCCAGCCCAGAAGTCTTATTTTGGCTGGTTCAACTTTTCCTTCCTTCTTT